AGATTCAAAAACAATGCAAGAGAGAATTTAAGATGGTGACTAAAAGTAAGGAAGAACCAATAAAAGACTTGAGGTTCAATAACAGGCCTTCACTTACTAAAGAAACGCAAGAAAATAGAGGGTCCAGGTCTAGGAATAATAGTATTACTGGGTGGGTTTCTGGAACACAAATATCAGTACTGAAGTAGATACAAGCAGAAATGAGAATAAAAATATTTAACTTATAAGGACAAGTACTGTCATAAGTAATATTGGAGTTGGGTCCTAGAGGCTTGTTGTTTTTCTGTTAGTTGTTGGATCATGGGGAGATACAAGGGCCCAGAAGGAGGGGCCAGAGTATGTAGTGTGGTCTTAGGGGGAGGACTTGTAAGGCTAGGAGCAGCATCTTCATAAGAATTGGCATGGGAATATTTCAACATGTTTAGTAACCACTAAAGCCACATTGATTGATACCAACAATAGAACTGTCATTGATACAAGATTCAGGTGACATTATGAAGAGTCCAGGCAGAACTACCAATATAGATTATTTAGAACTCCATGACAATTTTCTCATGGCCTAAAGTTAGATTGTGATGATTTACTATTGCTCTCTGATCCTGTATCAGCGAGGTTGAAAGCTCAGTAAAAAACAGAAACTGGATCAATTTTGTTTAACATTTAGACCTATCACTTACCAAAGTCCTCAACAAATATTTGTTCAATGAATGAAAAGCCAGGCAGTTTTTCCTAATAGCTTGAGTATTCCAAAGAAATGCCTCTCTGGAAGATAGAAAGCTCTAAGAACTAATTCTAATTTTGAAGTTCTAGTCCAGATTCAAGCTGGTCTTATAATCATAAATTCTTATATAGAACATTTATATATTACTTCCTAAGTTTTTGCTAAGGAGAAGACTATAAAGGCGTTCTACAATAATATGGATTCCCTATAGTTCAGTGAATTCTTAAGAGAATGACAGAAGTCCCTGGGATCCTGAAATGGTCCCTAAACTTTTAACATTTTACTTAAATTCTATTTAGCAGAAATTGGTCTAGTGAACAAATGTCAAGAGAAATAAATTTTAGGAAATAACCAACCTTTGAACCTCAATCACTGTCAGATAAAAATAAAGTCTTTGACAATTTATATTTCTCATGATGAACTGCCTCTGTTCATTTGAGGAAGTAAAAACCAGAACAATATTATAGTTCTGTAAGTTACAAGTTTCTCAGTTTTAAATAGAAATAGCAGAAAAATTCTGACTTAACTGCCCATAAAAATAATACAATATTTTTAAGTTGAAGTTATCAACTTCATTATACTTCATAACTTACTTATTATCATATCTTGATTTGGTTCCCATAAATTTTACAGGTATGCTGGGTTTTTAAAATTTTTATTTGTTTATTCTTATGTGGTACTGAGGATCAAATGCAGGGCCTCATGTATATGAGGCAAGCACTCTACCACTGAACTACAATCCCAGACCCAGATATGCTGTTATATATAGTAATTAAAAGGCTATTTTCATAAAATTGTTACAACTGTTTATTTATAATAAATAATAAATATTATGACTTGATATTTTACAGATATGTTATTAAATGTAGTTTTTTAAAGGTTGTTTCCCAAAATCATTGCAACAGCTTATTTATAATGAATACTAAATATTATGTCTTGATTTAATATTTATTAATAAATGCTAAATTTATCTATTAATAAATACTAAATCAAGACATAACAATGTGAACATTTAGAAAATCCCACAGTAATGGTTGAGAATCAAAAGTCCCAAATTGCTCATAGGCATTTTTGATATTTTGAGAAATTTTTTGCCAGCAATTTTTTTCTTTTATTTTTACTATTAAATAATTATTTTATTTTTCATGAATTTTCACATATGCTTAGTCAATTGGCTAATTTTCCATGCAAGTGACTAGTCATGAAAACATTAAATGGCTTTTAATTTAACGTATTGATTTCTTTCTTTCCTGTATTGACTGAAAACAGTTGTACACTTAACTACACAACTAATTCAGTTTATTCCACACAATAATCCTTATCCAACCATTCCTTCACCCTTAATCCAAGTCAGTATCATGTAGTAATGATATATTAACTAAACTTACCTGTTAAAAGAAAGAAAAATTAATTATATTTGGAGATAGATTGATATCCTGCCCCCAAAGCAGAAGCTATATACTTTGGTTTTAATAAGATCCAGACAGTCAGCTTACAACCTTGCTTGTTCCATGTAAGTGGTAGCTCTTGCCATAAGAACCTCATGGAATTTCACTGTATGTATGTATATTCTGCCAAAATACATTCTACTATCATGTATAACTAAAAATAAAAATTAAATTTTATAAAAAAAAAAACCTCATGGAGACTAGCTTCATCTGGAAATTAGTCCACGAGAGGCAGATTAAGTCTAAAAATTCCAAGAATCCAGGGTAGACTCTATTCTTTGAATAGGGTTCAAGTTTCAAGGATTCTCTTGAAAAAAGAATTTACCTCAAATTGGTTCAAACCCTTTCTGGGCCAAAGATGAAATGCAGTTTAAACTGACCAATAAATGCAGGAAGCAACACTGTATTAAGCAACATTCTTAACCTCTTGAACTTCTTCCCTGTGGAAATATGGCAATTCTCTTCAACTGCTGAATCACTAACGTTATTTTAAAAAATACATATTTTTAGTATGTATTTTACCTTTATTTTTCAGTTTACTTTTATGTGGTGCTGAGGATCAAATCCAGTGCCTCACATGTGCGAGACAGTGCTCCATGATGAAGTCATACCCCAGCCCACATTCTCCAATTTTTATAAGCATGAACTAATATTTTCAACTACTGCAGCAGTGAGACAGAAATAAAACCATTATTCCATATATTTCAAATATATTTTTGAAAGAGAAAAGTATAATCATAAATGTGATACATATAGTGAAAAATAGAAAACCCAAACTATGCTAAATTGCAAATTAATATGTGTATTTCATTAAAACATTGAAGTTAACAGGTATAACATCAGACTAAAACATAACACCAAACTCATTATCTTTGCTTATTTGATTATTACAATATATTTTAGCCAATTTTAATCATAGTATTTTTATACAGTAAGCATTTTGATGAAGTTGGAAATAAGTATAGGTAAAAGGAGGATATTTTAAATCTGAGAGCATAAATATGCATTTTAATTAGATATTGGCTCAATACATTTTTATATAGTATTATATAGTCTCAACACTATTTATGAATAGATACATTTCATAAATCAAATATTAACACATGGCACTGTACCTAAGAAAATTATTCAGACCAGAATTATTGACTAACAATATTTAATTCAGTTTAGAAAATATAAATTTTAATACATTCTCATTTTGATAAATCTTGTGCTAAAAATGTACAAATTTAACCAAATAGAAGACAATATACACACAACTCATTTTCAGTATCTATATGAGAGTCAGTTTTTTCAAAACATTTTACCCATTATCATTTCAGAATCAAACATATGAAAAATAGAAATCGAGATTATGTGAAAGAATGAAGGGGAAAAGAGTGATGAAGGGATAAACAGGATAAATCAAAGATGCTTATTATTATATTATAAAAATTTGAAGAAAATGAAAAAAATCTAAGGAACATTTAATGAAAATAATTAGTTATAAGGGTATTTAGGTGACACACTATATATAATATAATCAAAGACAAAAGAGATAATTGGAGGGGAAGGAGTGATTACTAGTGCACAAATATTATTACTATATAATGCAGCCATATAAAACCATAGTGTAAATTCATACCACTATATTTAACAAGCAAAGATGTGTGATAATCACTAAGAGAAGTGTACAGTATTAACTGCAGAGTTTTGTTTACAAGTCTGCAATAAACCATACTATCCCGTAAGGTTAATTTATTTAATTCAGATTCCTAAATTTCAATTCTATGTTGCTGACTTTTATTCTAACCCAAGATACTGTATGTTTTCATTCATCCCATCCATGAAAATAATTAGGAAGAACATACAGATGTACAAAGTTGATGCTTATCCCAGGAAAATTCAAAATATACAGTTTTAAAATAAACAGCACTGACAAAATCACTATTTTTCTTAATACTTTTTTTCATTTTTCTTTCAAATGTTATTTAAATTCAATTTTGTTTAAAGTATTTTTGAATAGACCCCATACTCCAATTTTATATGAAAATTATATATCATGATATATAATTTGTAGTATATATTATTATGATTATGTATAATATATGACATAAATTATAACATAATTTTCCATCTTAAAGGGGAAGTAAATTGTCTTCTGTATCTACAAGTTTGTTTTCCAAACATTTGAGATCTTCTTACATGTTAATGGTTTGCAAAATTTTGTATATTTCTTTTCATTGCATAGGCATTCAAATACACCAAGAAATGAAACATATGATATGTGTGTGTGTGTGTGTGTGTGTGTATGAATATGTGTAAAATTTCACTAGGATATTCTGATTGTCAATGTAAAGGATCCTGGATGTAAGAAATAAAATGAAGGATTTAAGAAATAAATAAAATGAAGGAGTTAAGAAATAAAATGAAAATTTAAGCACTACTAATATGTCTATGAACCTTTTTGTACAGAAATAAATGTCCCATTCTGAATAGCTTTTAGTGGTCCTTTCAGTAGCTTAGAGCAAACACGCACTTCTCATCCCACTTTTGTTGTAAATAAAGTTGATTGACAGTGAGCTGATTGATTTGGTGTGCCAGTGACTACTCTGTAGATAAGCACGTAATCACTAATGATGTCAAAACAGTAAGAAAATATACTCATAAAACTTAGTTATTATAGTTATCTCCTACAACAACTTGAATGTACACTGAGTCAAATCATTTTTTTAAAGCAGCATGATAACCATACCTCAAAAGAGATTTTTTTGTGACATGATAAGCCAGAGAAGATTATTCTTACTGAAGTCTTGCTGAAGTTAATCAAATTAATCTACAGTTGATTCCTACTATAAATGTGATACAAGTTCCCTGCTTGTCTGGTTTGATATTTGTAAGTTAGGAGTGCTAAATTCAGAACTGTTTCCATGGGAAATGTTACGAAGATTACATAGTGTTAAAGAGTGCAGAAGAGCTTCCCGAGCTTTTGATGCCTCTATGTTCTGCTCTTGGGAAATTTGAAGACTAATCTGATTTATATTGTTCATTAGCAGATTGGAAGCTATAAGATTGGTTATGGAGCGACACCTGGTGAGATTTTCTTCCAAAAATTGTTTATAGAGTTCATCGACCTTTTTTTCCATATAGCTATTAAGCATAGAATTGGAGAGAGGCTGCTTATGAAACAGCATACTTTTTTCTCGAATTTCATCTCCATTCAATAACTTTGAGGTGGGTGTTTTCTCCAGAGGCTCAATGATAGGAGAATGGCCCAATGGTATATCTACTGAAAGTAAAAGGGGACCATTAGAAACATCATCGTGTGTGTGTTCAACAAAGCAGCCTGAATCATACATGTTCCCCACATGATCACCTCCAATCTGTAGATCAGGATAATTCTGGCAAATACTGGTACATGACCAGGATCGATATAAATCCACTTGTCTTTCATCATGTTGTTCTCTCTTTGGAATGGTCAATGCAATGGACACAGTTCCTGGAAGAGGTGTATTTTTGCATTTTACCGCAGATAGCTCATCCACAGATTTTATTTTATTTGTATCATTACTTTGTTCATTTAAACTTTCTTTCATAATTTTTTCTTGATTTTCACTCTTAAGGGAGGAAAGTGAATTGTCTTCTATATATAAAAGTTTATTTTTCCAAGTTTCTTTTTCATCATTTGACGTCTTCTTACATGTTACTGGTTTGCAAAATTTTGTATATTTCTGTTCTTTGTAAGGGAGTTCAATTAGGAAGGCTTCTCCAAGCATTTTGTTAAAGAAATTTTCTAAAAGGAAGACTGTAGTATTCCTATAACATAAAAGAACTCATTAAGGCAATGTATATTACAATGTCAAATAAGAATTTATCTCTTATGTGAAGAAAAGATAATTAAAGAAGGCAATATTTCTCAAAGGATAGAGAATAAAGCTAGGAATAAAGAGACTTTAGTTCCAGTACTACCATTGACCACTTTTTATTGGATAATTTATTTCTTACTCACCATTTTTGCATTAGTTAAAGAGTAACATTATTTTCTTTCTTCACAGGTTTATCACCATGATAATACTATTTGTGTGTGGTGCTGGAGATCAAACATGTAAGTTCAAAATGCTAGGAAAGCTAACCAACCCAATAAGGATAATATAATATAGTGCAATGCACGTTTACAAATGTATAATTTTTACATTCAGCTGTCATTTAGAATTAATTTATAATTGACTAAAATGCCCAACAATTTTTCTTCCAAGAGTCTACTTAAAGCCTGCTTTCAAAGATATACCATTGGTTTTACATGTTCTTTTAATTAATATTGTTTGAAGCATAACATTGAAAAATTACTATAACCTAAATTGCATAAGTTGTAGGAAAAATATATATTATTTGAACTCATGCAAACTTCTGATTTAGAATAGAAATACAGCCATTTATTTTTCAATAATATAAATGCAAATAGGTTTCTTAAATTCACTACCATTCTTTTTCCCCCTTTTTCTTTTATCTTTATGCTTCTTTCTAATTTTCATTTTCTTCTTTTAGACTCAAATCTTATAGTAATAAGCAGGTATTTCAATATTTTCATGGTTCTTTAGGGCCACTGGAAGAATTTCTTCGTTTCATATACTTTATTAAGGCATAAAAAGAAAAAGTAGACTTGATTCAAAACACAATTTTCCTTTTTCCAGTCTATAGTGTCTACTATAAATGTTCCCAGGAAATCTACTTTTATTCATACTTAAAAGAGTTTTGGAATAAAATAAAGTAATATGAGCTGGAATATGTTAGAATTTAGACTTACCTTTTCAAAATGTCAATGTACTTTTAGATTTGGTCTTCCAAAGTTCCAACACTCGAAACACAAAAAAGTCGTTGGTTCTCAGCTTCTACTCAACATTTCAGAAAGATAGCTTTAACCACATAAAATGCTTCTGCTTTCCGTTCATACCCCATGACTGAAACAAAGTAATAGGAAAATGATGTGGGTTGATCACATGTCTGGTATGGTAATGATCATATACCAAAAGAGGATCTTGAAAGTGTTTATTCAAGTTGGAAATGAAATTGAGAGTCAGAAAATGTTAACAACAGCTTTCTTCAAGTAAATGAAGGTAGAGGCAAGGTCATTTTCATTTTTTAAATGGAAAAAAAAAAGTGGTACCAGCATGTTTTGTAATAATGAATAATTTGAAATAATCCAAATGTCCATTAATAAGAGCATGATTAAATAAATTATGACACAGCTGAGGAGTGATACTTGTCAAAAAATAGTATTGTTTTGTGCATGTATGAATATGTAATAATAAATTCCATAATTATGTACAACTTTAATGCACCAAAAAATGTGGAAAGAACAAAACAAACAAAAAATAGTTTAAATGGTAGAAAAATCATGATACATCTAGGACATGAAATATTAAACTGCTTTTATTAGTGCAGCATAATTATACATTGAAGTGGGTTCATTTTGACATAATACACACATGCATGGAATACAATTTGTTCCGTTACAGTACTTCCTCTTTCTCTCTACTTCTCCTCCCTCTGTTCCCCTTCCTCTACACTACTGGTCTTCCTTCTAATTATTTACAGTTTTTTAATTGGTACTTTATAGATAAAGTGAAATTCACATGGTGTAGTCATAGCAAAATTTGGTCAGTTTCATTCTACAATTCCTCCCTTTTCTTGTCCCCTCTCCTTCTCCCTTAATAATCTTCCCCTACTCCACTGATGTTCCTTTTATTTTCATGGTGCCCCCTTCTCTTTTTCTCTTATTTTGCTCTAGCTTCTACATATGAAAGAAAACATTCAAACCTTCCCTTTCTGAGTCTGACTTATTTCACTTAGCATAATGTTCTTCAGTTCCATCCATTTACCAGCAAATGCCAAATATCATTCCTCCTTTTGACTGTTCAAATTCCATTTATATATTCCATTCATATATTCCATATGAATTCATATATTTCATAACATTTTCTTTATCCATTCATTTTTTGATAGACACCTGTGTTGGTTCCATAATTTTGCTATTGTGAATTGTACTGCTACAAATATTTATGTGCTTGTATCACTATAGTATGTTAATTTTCATTATTTTCGATAAATATCAAGGAGTGAAATAATGGGGTATTATGGTAGTTCCATTACTAATCTTTTGAGGTAGCTCCATATTGCTTTCCAAACTAGTTGAACCAATCTGCAGTCCCACCAACAATGTCTGAGTGCACCTTTCTCTCCATATCCTTGCCAGAATTTATTTGTATTGTTGATGATTTCTATTCTAACTGGAACGTGATGAAATCTCAGTGTGGCTTTAATTTATATCTGAGAATTTTTAATGATTTAATAGCAAGTATCTATTAAATAATTACTACCAGTTATTCTACATATTATATGTACACTACTTAAACAAGATATTATTATTCCCATTTACAGAAAACAGAGAAAAAGATTATATACTTGCTGAAGGTAATAAACAGGTAAATAACAGAACTAGGATTAGCATCAAGCAATGGATTCATATCCAATGCTGTTAATCACTATACCATATTTCCTAGTTATCTGTATAGAATGCACGTTGCAGAATAGAATATGCAGTATGATTCCATCATGAATTGCTTGTGCTATGTGTCAACACTTACAAATACTTTATACATAATAATTTAATTACCATAATATATATATGAAACAGATATTATTATTTCCATTTTACCTATAAGAAAACAAGCACAGAGAAGTTAGATAACTTGCCCGATATTAGGCAAATGTAAGTGGTAGAGCCTGATATCAAAGCCTGTGTGCTTAACTTCCTTGCTGAGTTGACTTTCTCCCCCTTTTCATTGCCTTAATATATACAACCATTTTGGTGGGAAAGGATAAAAAACAACTGTTGTTCAATGTCAGGAAGCAGGTAAAGTGATATTTTTATTTTTAGACCCTGTATTTCTATATGATTTGAATTATTATATAATGAGCATGTATTCATAATAATTTTGTCACAGGAAAGCAGGGAGCTGGAACTCCAAACCTTGTTTTTTGTATTCCCAGAAAGATAATTTCAAGTCAGACACCAAAAGCCATGCAAGAGAACTTTATTATAAGTGAAAGTGAGGTGAAAGGAAAGTAAGGCTCAAGCAGGGAGCATTCTCAATAGAGAGAATGGGCTGTCTGCAAGCAGAGAATGACATACAACACAATGCTTCTCTAACCTTATTACCGTTTGATGTTTAGGGTCCTCTTCAGCAACCTTCACCAATCAGGTGTTGAACTCCTCCTTCATGTAGGACAGTGGAGATTCTGACCTTAGTTGATCCTCTCTGGAACTGTCATGGTGGCCATCCTATTTAGTGGGCTTCATCTACAAGTCAATCCCATGTTAATGTGGACACTGGGGTCAGTAACTGGTCAGAAGTTACCTATTGCACCCATACAACTAAGGGAATCTTACTTCCCATACAAACAGAAACACCTCTGGCTATAATTCCTAGCTTCACACCAACCTCAAAGATCCTATAAAGAGTTACTCCCATTAATACTTTTATTTTAACACATTTTCCTACTAGCCCCTTTGTTTCTTTTTTTAAAATTTTTTTTTAGTTGTAGTTGGGCACAATACCTTTATTTTATTAATTTTTATGTGGTGCTGTGGATCAAACCCAGGGCCTGGGTGAGTACTCTACCATGAGCCACAACACTGGCCAACTGCTTCTTTTTTTTTTTAACCTGCTATTTGTTTTCAACAAATTAACTGCTATCCTTTGCTTTCTCTTCCACTTTGAAAGTAGTTTACAGATCCTAAAGTAATTTAAAGAACATTTGTGACCTTGCCATGCATTTCACTATTCATTGCTAGCTACTACCCAACAATGTGAATGATTGAAAAAATAAATAATTCACACAAATGACAAGAAAAATATTTGTTATCTCTATTAAGGTTTTCCAAAGCCATAAGTAAATCTAGATATAAAATGCTAAAGTAGACTGAGAAGCATAAAGAAAAATTTTATATAGAATATTTTGGGCTACAATTATAAATATAGCTTTTGTTTAATAGTATTTTATCATTTTAAATAATTATCAAAAAAACATGCTACAGAGTAGGTTACATTTAACTTTGTAGGCCATACCAATCAAATTCTTTATTTTAAGCTGTCAAGTTATTCTCTTACAAGTAATAGTGCATTAATTGGAACCAAGGGAATGGTTTATCTTGAACTGAGGAAATATGTTACAATCCACATGAGAAAGATAATAAAAACAATTTTAAAAATTGATTTCTTACCCATAGTATTACAACGGAATATTAAAAGGAAATGGAGATGTCTAATTCCTCCTACATTATACTCCTTCATTGTTTTTTTGCCTTGCTGACCCCTACATCCAGCTGATCCAAGTTGTACTGGATGTCCTGTCTTTTAAAAGCTCTGCCTTTCACAACTGCCATGATCTTTAGTTCTTGGATTGCTGCAAATGCTTCCAGTCTGGCCCTCTTCTAATCAAATTAACATGTTAAATTGGTCTGCCTTTCATGAAAAACTGCTAAAATTTTCAAAGGCTTCTATCACCCATTGATTAATACAAGTTGATACAACTTATGACATACCTCAAAGTGAAAGATTCTTACAAACATTTTACATTTAATCTTCACAGAAGATCTACAAGTTATGATTATCCATAATTTGACATAACAGGAAACAACTTTGAAAATATTATTAAATAATATAAAAATAAAATGAAACTAAAATCCAACATGAAATCTGAAAACCTCTGTTGATTTTCCCAGTTTACCTCCTCAGCCTCCCTTTTATTTCTCTACTTGCTTCCAAAGCTACAATTGCCATTTTTTTTTCATGACTCCTCTCTCTACCAAAAAGTCCTTTGTTCTTCTAAATTCCCTGCAGACTATATATCCTTCAGGTTGTAGTTTAGCTCTCAATTATTCAGGGCTGCCTGCCTTGACCCACTAGTCTTGGTTAGTTTTCTCTATATTTACCTACTTTTGTTAGGTTTTACTCTGTGAGTTACTTGAAGGCAAAAGTAGGTTTTTTTGTTCACTGATGTGTTCTGAATATGTCTAGCAATTATTATCATCAATAATTATTATTACCATTTTCTGAACTACTATTTAAATGGTGTGCCAAACACTTTCACATACTTAATTCATTTGATCCTGACAAGGATATTGGTAGGTAGGTATGACCATACTCATTTTAACCACAGAGATACTGACAGGAAGTAAGTAATCTGCCCCCAAATCCATAGTAATTAAGTGGAAGAAACATAGAATATGAATTTGCCTAACTCGGAAGCTGGGGCTGAGCAGTTCTTTGGTCCTTTGCTCTTAATTTCCATTATCATCTACCCACTTTTGGGAAACACCCAAAATATCACTACATTCCACTACTGAAAAAAGATTAACTGGAAAATGAGTTAAGAATATATTGAAAAGGAAGCCAACATTTAAGCAAGAGGTCATCTTTTTACAGAAGAGGAAAAGAGAAAAAGTGTTAGGAAAGCCAGGGAATATTGCACCTGGTATTGCACAAACTAAAAATTTGAGTCCCAGAAGCAAAGGGAGGGCTGCAAATCAAGTTCTCAAGAAGGGCGGAGGGCTGGGGCGCGGGGCGGCAGGAGAAAGAAAAGAGGAAGCTCCCTGGGCAAAGAGAAAAGATAATGTTGATATGATGATCACCTCCTGACGAGTACCATTTGTTCTTTCTCTTTAAACTCAAGCAACACAAGTTTTATTTGTGTTCTTTTTTTTTTTTTTTTAACGCAGTACTTTCGGTCTCAGGTGACTCCGTATTTTTTAGAAGCTTTAGTAGCCAACAGAAAAGTTCCCGCTTGCCTAGCCTCCTTTTCCAAGCAGGGCGGAGGGAAAATGGACAGCATGCTGGGCCTGAGAATGCATTTTACACTTCCCGCTCCTCCTCTCCAGGGCCTCTCAAATGAGGAGATAAAAGAGGACTTAGCTAGTGTTTATCACTTCTGGGAGTCCAGCCCTCCTCCCAGCCTGCCGGTGGGGGCTTCCGCTCTCTGGTCACCAGGAACCCGCTTTCCTCAGAATGGGAGCTAGCATGCGCCACAGGGGCGCTTGTTTTCCAGCCAATCCCGAGCCCAAGGGCTACTGGCCCTTAGCAACCCGCATGGAGGAGGGCAGAGCTGGGTGTTCGGACTATTGAAGCCAAGCTGAGCGGAGCGAAGCAGCCGTGAAGTAGTTAACTGCTTATTATTCCTGCAAAAGTACCCTGCGTGGAAACAATGAATTCCATTAAAGTCTATTATACCAGCGTGTCAGGCTCTAGGGAGGTGAGTAGGAAGAAAAGGGCCTCAGCGCCAGGGCGGGAGCGGGAGAGACTAGAGTGAAGACATTCTAGTTGGGAACTTCAAAATTTTGCTAATACTTTACATAACCTTTCTGCCTTTCCTCTCAACTCCATACTCTCTAGGCTTTGGGAGATGGGCGATGCACAGAAGGACAGATAATGTGATTAACTCTCTCATACAGATTGAGCTCTAAGAACTGATTGACATGGGAAGTTACTGGTATCTTGAATTCAACCACCTCAAGGACCTTCAATAATTTTACCTGTATTTCAAATGGTAGAAATAAAGAACTCTGTTTAGGAAAGGAGAGGGAAAATGACAGTGAATGAACACCTAAACTCCTCAGAGAAGAGAACCCAAATGAGACAAACTCATTATTATTATTATTATTATTATTATTATTATTATTATTTGGTACTGGGTATTGAACTCAGGGGTGTTTTACCACTGAGCTGTATCCCCAGTCTTTTTTTTTTTTTTTTGCTTTTTTTTTAATTTGACGCAGGGGCTGGGGTGGTGTCTCAGTGGTAGAGTGCTTGCCTACCATGTGTGAGGCACTGGGTTCGATTCTCAGCACCACATAAAAGTAAACAAATAAAATAAAAGTCTATTGATAACTAAAAAAAATATTTTAAAAAAATTTGAGGCAGAGTTTCACTAAGTTGCTGTGGTTCTCACTAAATTACAGAGACCTCCAATTTGTGACCTCCTGCCTTAGCTTCCCCAGTCGCTGGGACTACAGGGTGCACCACTACACCCTGCCAAAATGTAGACTTCTTATTTTTTTTAAGTTATACATATCAGTAGAGTCCCTTTTAATATAATTATACAAGCATTCAGTATATCTTATTCTAATTAAGACCCCAGACTTGTGGATGTACAAGATGGTGAGATCCACTGTGCAACATTCATATAAGTACATAAGAAAGTTATGTCAGATTCATTCCATTGTCTTCCCCTAAAAACTGTCAATTTCTAATAAGTAGATGTATTTGCATAGATCAGACGTTTATTAGATGAATTGAAATTTAAATGATTTCTTTTAACCAGAATGTAGGAAATATTATAGAAAGGAACTGTGCAACAGAAATATAATGAAAGCCATATATGTAACTTGAAATTTTAGTAGCCATTTAAAAAACAGGTGAGATTAACTTTAATATGTTTAATACAAAATATCCAAATACCATTATTGCAACATGTAATCAATATAAGAAATGCAAATATTATATATTATTTTTTATATTGTCTTCAAATTTACTATGAATTGTGCAAATACTACATATAGTACATCTCATTTTGGAGTAGCCACATTTCATTCCATGATAGTCACATGTGACTAGTGGTTATCACATTAGGCACCACAACTATAGAATGACGGATATATGGCCAAAAACCTCCTTCTCCGATATTTTTAGACAAAAATGAAAACTGAGGAATTTGAAATTGATTATAAATGGTTGGCATAGCTTCACCACAATCACTCTGTGTGTCAAACTCCATATTTGCAGGAGGAATGAGATTGATTCAGTCTTGAAAGAGGAGGCTGATTTTGCATAAAACCTGGTCTGGTAGTTTAGTGTTTTTGCCTGTGTACTAACCCACAACAATAAAAATGAGCAGACTTAAAAAAAGAAACCTGTGGGCTATTTTACTAGGTTTTTCTTTTTAGCATTGTAATTAATGTTGTTGAGTTTAGTAACTGTAAGAGGGAATGATTTGGAGTAAGAACCACAATGAATGCAGTAGATCACCCACTGAACTCTTGTCCCATGACATACTGTAGATTACAATCATCTGGAGGGTTTGTTAAAATAAATTTTTCCTAGGACCCACCCCCAGAAATTCTGACACTGTAGATTTGAGGTGGACTAATGCTGATGCTGCTAGTCTGAATCACACACAGAATAGCACTGCTCTAGGCAACCCTATTCTAATGGGTTCCTCTGAAAAGGTTTTGAAAAATTAATATAAAAATGTGACTCAAAATCTCATATAATATGACTTCTCAGTTTTAAAAACTAATGAGCCTTAGAAATTAGAAATGCTGCATTTTAGAATTTCAGAATTTTCTCCATTATCCATTGGATATAGTCACAGTTTTCTAAGCATGGCAGGATTACCATTTCAAGTCATCAAACAAAAAGCCTACTGACATGCACTTTCATAGAAATCCCACTTGAATAAGCTGGGTTTGGGTTTGTCAGATTGCTTTCACATGTTTTCTTTCATTACAGATTTTATTTGACAAAATTGACCAAGTTTGTCACATGAAAATGTAGTAACCTTAACCTTTACCTAAGATTTATGCTGTAGGTTTTTTTTAATATGGCTATTAAATACATTTAAAGAATAACCAACTTTTGGGGCTGGGATTGTGGCTCAGTGGTAGAGGTCTTGCCTAGCACATGTGAGGCACTGGGTTCGATTCTCAGACTGCATATAAATAAATTTTAAAAAGGTCCATTGACAACTAAAAATATTTTTTAAAAATAAACCAATCAATCAATAAATAAAGCTCCATTAAACAGCTAAAAATATTAAAAAATAACCAACTCTTGAAATTTTACCTATTAGCAGATGATACGAATTTAACAGTTCATATGAAAGGACAGAGTAAGAAGTGAACACCTTGATATACTCACTTACTTGTAAATAGTAATCCGTTCATGTATTTATATTTTCATCCTTTGGATTGCCTCTCTGATTTAGTCTCTGTGATTTGTAACTTGTAGTATGTTTCCCTCAGTTTTAAAAATGTGGTATCATGTCCATTTCCTATCCAGAACTGCCATAGATACCAGTATAAATTAAAGCACTAACGAGTGCAAAAGCCTGCCTCAACTATTAGCAGAATGTTCTTAACGGCTTGAAATACAGTGTGAAATCAATCTGGTAAATATTTACAATCCATAAGAGATTTTCAACCCCCACAGACACTATAATTTTCTTATATACAGTTGACACTTGAACAATTCTGGGAGGCTGGGAGGTGTTAGGAGAGCAGAGATCAGTCTTACCCCCACAGTTGAAAATCTGCAATTTAACTTTTGATTCCTCAAGACCAGAAACCTTACCAATAAACAGTTGAATAGTACACATTTTAAATGTTTGTTGAAAGTACATGAGAACCAGGAAAGATCACTTTTTACTGAATGGTGCAATTAACTGAAGAGAGGAACTGCACATGCAGAGATGATTAGCATCACATAGACTCACCTTAGATTTTAAAGCACATACTCCAAACATAAGAGCTCATTGAAATAGGAACAGTAGATGGCTACAAAATTACTATAGTTGTATGGAATGTATTGTGGCTAATTTTATACAGTTATGATTTAATACTGCATCAGTACACTGTTTACACTTCTGGCAACTGTGAATGGTGCCATGTACAGTCTGTTGCACATCTATCTATGTATATACATATACACAAACATGTGTATACACATGTATACACATGCATATATTAAATGTTTATATGACATATATACTATATTTAATGTGTTTATTTATTTATATATATACACACACATATACATACACATACACACATACAAACATATAAACTTCACAAGAACAATACTTAACTTTGTTTCAAAATATTTACAAGAATCCCTAACTTGTTTCACAATCAGGCTTTGTACCATTAATACCTATTTCTATTCTATAACATAATGGACAAGGAAGGGGAAAAAATATTGGGACCAATTGATTCGACTTATTAACATCTTTTTTACATCTTTTTTTCTATATTTCTATCTAGGTAAAGCAGAGACAAGAAGAAGTTATCAGAATTTTAGATGCTTACAAAGTACAGTATGAATTAATAGATATTTCTATCAGTTTGAAAGTACTTCAAGAAATGAGGATGAAGGTTTCCACACCCAAGGCTCTACCACCTCAAATATTCAATGGCCAAGACTATTGTGGAGTAAGAGTGAATATCCATTTTTATTCTATTTTCATTTCATATCTTAAAGTCATATACAAGAGAAAATGTACATGTACAGGGTAAGAGGGTTAGATTTCCCCAGCTATATAATAATTTAATTAAGTTCCTGAAAGCAAGGCAATTTTTATTTTATGAAGAAAAGATTATTACAAAAGGAAAATATAGCTGGGCATGGTAGCACATGCCTATAATTGCAGCAAATGACCAACAAATATATGAAAATTGTTCAACATTATTAGCAATAAGGGAAAATGCATATCGAAACAACACTGAGGGCTGGGTTGTGGCTCATGTGCTCGCCTACCATGCATAAGGCACTGGGTTCAATCCTCAGCACAACATAAGAATAAAATATTGTGTTCACCTAAATCTAAACAATAAATATTTTAAAAAGCAACACTGAGATTTATCTCACTCCAGTCAGAATGGTAATCATCAAGAAACAAAAATAAAATAACATCTGGGCGGGTGGCGTACACCTGTAATCCCAGCAACTCAGGAGGCTGAGTCAGGAGAATCACAATTTCGAGACCAGTGTCAGTAATGTGGTGAGGCCCTTAGTAATTTAGTGAGACCTTGTCTCAAAATTTAAAAAAGAGTTGGGGCTGTTGCTCAGTTGCTAAGCACCCCTGGATTCAATCACTAGTACTTCCAAAAGAAAACAAGAAAAGAAAATATATCATGAAGCTTGTTTGAAGATAATTATATCAGTATTTTTCATCATACATCATAATATGAAATAAGTCGTATTCTGGAGAAATTTTTCATCTAACTTAACTAGCAGAGGTTTTCAAAGCCTAGGCAGACTTAACGTGGACACTTGAGTTTAATGGGGTCATAATTGAGAATTATTATCACTGATGTTACAAGTTAATTTTATTTTTGTTTTGTTTTGGTTTTAGGATTTTGAAATGTTCCACAAGGCAAAGGAAAACAAAGAGATTCTGAAATTCCTGAAGATGGAATGAACGGGCAGTTATGCTGATATGTTTACAAAGATGGTTCTACATATACTTCATAGATCTGTTTAATTAATCACTTTAATACATGGACTGGTTCCATTTCAAGGGTGCATTAAATAATTTCTTTGTTACTCTGTGAACAATTTATTTAACTATAAAAAATTGAGCTGGGGGTGTGACTCAGTGGTAGAGCACTTGCCTAGCATGTGTGAGGCTCTGGGTTCGATCCTCAGCACCACATATAAATAAATAAAATAAAGGTCCATTGACAACTAACAAATATTTTTAAAAAAAGAAAAAAAATAAGTATCTATTAGCATCAAATTTTAAAGGTCACTAGTAGTTATCCATTTATAAGCATGAAGTAGATTTTAGTACAATTTTCAATTGGCTTTCAACTTTATTTTTAAAATGTTTATCAGTACAATTAGCAAAGGATTATAGACTGTACTGATGTGATTTTTAAAAAAGGAAAAAGGAAAAAAAAAGCACCAAATAATATTCCAAGTCTTCCTAAAAAGAAGTAGAGGAAGTAGGAATTTATATAATTAAAAATATCTTCAAGTGATTATTTTTATACTGGGGATTGAAGACAGGGGAATTTTTTTCACTGAGCTATATTCACAGATATTTTTATTTATATGTATTCATTTTTAGGCAAGATCTTGCTAAGTTTCTGAGGCTGTCCTGCAACTTGTGATTTTTCTGCCCTAGCCTACTGGTTCACTGGGATTATAGGCTTGCACCAGCATTCCTAGCAGATGAATTTTTTACACACTAAAATCTGGCACCAGTACTAAAAACAATTTTAGGTCACCTCCCCTTTGCCCCCACCTCTGCTATAAAATGGCAGATTTTTTTTTTTTTTTTGCAAACTCTTTCTCCTCAAGTAGTTCTTTTCTTGTTGACAGGCAAACCAATCCACTCAAGATCCAACTAAGAAACTTAAATGTCATCCTTAATATCACTCATGCCCTCACTCCATCAACCCTTAGGTGAACTGGTATTAATATTTCAGTTACCTTCCACTTTTCCAGCTGTCTACCCATTTTTTTCATATCTTTATTACTCTTGCCCACATTCTTTTAATGATATCTTAATTAACTCTTATTTCCAGTTTTGTTATTAAAATATCTGCCTTCCACACTACTGCTACATTTGTGCTATTTTTGGCTAAAAATTGGAATCACCTAAGTAATAAAAAATATAATATCTAGATATCACCCTTAGTAATTTTAATGGGCAAATAAGTAGCATTAGAATGATGTTTCTAAAACATAAGCTTAAACGAGTCTACACAGCCTGCAACACGAAGTTTATCATCTGTGATGTAGGAAAACCACATTCCTCACAATCATCTAGGGTGCTTATTAAATATTTATATTCCTGAATTTTCCACAGATTTTTAAAGCTGGAGCAAATATATTTGAATTTCAAATTAACAGCTTCAGGGTGACACTCAAGTACTATAATTTTGAGAATTGCTGATTTATAGGGTAAAATCTAAACTCCATATTTGTTCTTTCAAAGAGGCATATATAGACCATTCTATCCCAGCTCTCAGTTACAACAACTCTCCCTGATTAACCCTACTAAACTCTATAAATCATCAGTTGTGCATTTTCTTACCTTTTATCCACATATTCCTTGCATCCTCCTCCCATCTGCTTAACAAGTAATTACTGATCTTTCACATACAATTCCCCTATGATGTCTTCCTCCCTAATAGAATATAACTCCATTTTTCTTTATGACACAGATGTTACCCATTACCTACTCTATCAGAGCACTAGTAACAGTTTAGAACTAAAGACTCCCTTCAAAGTAGTAATAGCTAACTCTTCTTGAACATTCACTATGTGAAAGGCACTATTATATTCTAAGATGTTTGTGTGAGTTAACCTCATTTAATCTTCACAATGTTATGGAGTGGGTACAATTTATTATAATTTCCATTCTGTGGATGAGGAAAATGAGTTTCTAATTAGTGATCTGCACAAGACTACATAGCTAATAAGTGATCACATCAGAATTTGAACCTATTACAGAAAGTAAATATGAAGCACTTACTAGATAGGGGATAAGAGGATCTGAAAGGAGAGAAAGCAACAGTAAAATGAGTTGGTAGTGAGGTTTCCTAAAAAAATCCACAGGTTAGCCCTTCTTAAGGTCAAAACTTCTAGTGTGATGGGAGAATTGATTCCTTTAAAATGCAAGCTTGTTGTTGGTAAACCAGGAACAGAAAGGACTGCTACCTCTTATTTCCAAAGTCTAGCAAGAGAACTCTGGCAGCCTCTCATTGCAAAACAACTGCAAAATGGCAGTGCCTAATGAGAATTCAGGATAATGGAACTAAAGCCAACCTCACGGAGCCCTACACCTCTATTATGACTGAGAAAGCATGCTCAGATTTCCTTTGCCTGCTATGGAAATACAAGACTACTCACATAAGAGTAATTAAAGCCTATTTATTCAGAGCTTGCTATAGCAAAATCAGCCACCTCGTTTATATTTTGCAGAAACTCAAAGATAGAGGAATGGGAAAACTAGGTAGAAATCAGAGGGAGTATTTTATGTATGCCTTGGATGAAGGCTGTTGGCTGAGGGAAGCTGAAGTTAGGCTAACTTGAAATGGAACATCTTAACTTGAAATGGAACCTCCTTGGTTAGGGGGAACATACTTGGCTTTCTCCTATTGAAGACAGAAATTAGGAAAATGACAGTTATTAATCAAGCCCTAAGTGTTACAGAGACTGTGGTTTGCCCTGGATTGTTTGCTACAGAGGCTATGGTTTGGCTTCATGGGTTTGTTCGGCTTTTAAAACAGAGCTTTATTTTTACATGAGAATTGGCAATTGTCTGCCTGTATATTTAGTCCTTCCATTCCCAGAGAGGCACGAAAGTGTCTCAATGTGAACTGGCATATACAGTAACTTTCAGGTTCAGGAAGTTAATGGTGAGAAATAATTGTGAACAAGGTAACCAGTAAGTAGAGGGATATATATCGACATAATAATCACAGTTTAAAATCAATTTCTCCCTTAAAATAGAGAAAATACATATCATGTGAAAAGTTCCCCCTGCCTTTAGCATCTTATTTTTCCAGTCTTCAGGCATATACTTAGAAAACTGAAGATTGTTACTTAAGAAGAAAACATCAGATTGTTACATAGCAGAATAACATTCACTGGAGCTACCCATAGGATCTTTCATATGAGTAGTACAAAACACTGATTTTTCAGGTACAACATTCTCAATAGCCATCAACTGAGAAGAAAAGTTCCCATAGGTGACCCCCCAAAAAATATGTCTACATCTTAATCCCTGTAACCTATGTATATTACTTTTCTTGGAAAAGGGTTTTGAACATATAATTAAGAATTTTGAGATAAGGAAATCATCCTGAATTGTAGGGGTGAGCTATATATCCAATGAAAAGTATCTTTATAAGAGTGAGGTAGATGGACATTTGAGAGAGAAGTAGGCACTATGATGGTGGAAAAAAAAGACTAAATTGATGTGGTCACTGGCCAAGGACTGCCTGGAAACTGAAATAGGCAAAGAATGTATTTTTCCCTAGAGGTCTATTAACAGTTGCTGACACCTTGGTTTTGAATTTCTGCTCTCCAGAACTGTGTCTGAAGATACAGAATAAATGTCTGTTGTCTTAAGACATTCAGTTTGGGGTACATTTTTACGAGATTTATGGAAAATTCTTATATTCCCAAAATGTAATATCTGAAAATAAAGAAAGAAGGGAATAAAAATACCTGGGATAATGGGTGAGGCCAAAGAAGGAAGAGGTTACCCTTTAGATTAACTACTAAAGGATGGACACTGGGCTCTTTCTCAAATCACAATATGAGTGAGAAAGCTTATAGAATAGGACAAGAGTCACTTGCACATCCCAAGTATCTTTTATAAATTGCTCAAGGCAAAAATTGTGAAAAGAAAGATAGGTACACAATGAAACTAAAGTCCTAATTTTTTGTTTCTGTTCCAAAAGAAATGCAAATGAGAGTTCTTCAAACTTAAAGAAATGATGATTACTAAGAAGAAGGGAGGATGGGCTGGGATTGTGGCTCATCGGTAGAGTGCTCGCTTAGCACGGCTTGGACCCAGGTTCGATTCTCAGCACCACATAAAAATAAAGGCATTGTATTGTGTCCATCTACAAAAAAAAAAAAAAAAAAGATTCATTCCCCCCACCTCTCTCCTTTAAAAAAATTTTTAAAAAAGAAGGGAGGTATAAAACTCATTGGTAAGAATAACTATATGCACAGATTCAGAATGCTCTAATTTCTAAGGCATGGTGCATAAGGCATTCGTATATCTAGTATGAAAACTAAAAAAAAATTAAAATAAGAACTATGTTAATGTGTTTAGATATAGGTAATACAGAAAGATAAAAATGGGGCATCAAAAATCCAAAATATGGTAAGGATTAGAGTATATGTGTAGAATTTTCTTATCGGTACATTTTTTGAGGGTGTACGGGGATTGAACTCAGGGATACTTGACTACTGAGCCATTTACCTAGCTGTATCTTGTATTTTATTTAGAGACAGAGTCTCACTGAGTTGCTTAGTGCCTCACTGTTGCTGAGGCTGGCTTTGAACTTGCGATCTTCCTGTCTTAGCCTCCTAAATTGCTGGGATTACAGATATGCACCACTGTGCCCAGCCCTTATTAGTACATTTTTTTCTCTTTTTTATTTGTTACCATTCTTATCTTTATGATTCTGTTAAGATACCATCATAATTTGTTATTATTGAAAGATGTTTTTATAAGCCTCTTGGTAATCACAAAGCAAAAATCTATGATCAAACTAAAAATAATAAAGAATCAAAGTACTCTAGTAATCAATTAATCACAAATAAAAGACTGAGAGAGAAAGGAACTAAAGGCAGAAAACACATTACAAAATGGATACAGTAACACCTTATCTATCAATAATTAACTTATGTATGAATAATTTGAAATAAATTTTCTAGCAGCTGTAGAATGAAAAAAATAAACAAAACATGCAA